GCTTGGCATGGCCCCCCTGCGCAGAGAGCAAGGGCTGCCGGCACCCACACCGAACCTGGAATCAAGCCGGCAGGCACACGACCGTTTTCAGCGCTAGCACTTGCTGTGTGACACTTTGCAGGACAAGTGACTTTTTATATAAAATGGGCATAAAAATGTGCAAGTACTGAGGAATGTTCTGCAAGATGGGCAGCTGGAAAGAATTAGGGAATTGCCAGACATTCTCCTCTCCTCCTAGCTTTCTGCAAAAACCCATCAGTTTTCCCTAAATAAACTATGCCATCTGCCAGTATTTCCTTTGATAGAATCACACATAAGATCAAAATTACTCACTAAAAACTCATCCCGGATGAAGAACTTTGCTCTTGTGACTTTGGGGTCTTCTCCTGCGTCTGGTGTTGCTGTTCAAGTAAAAATAAATGACATCAGAAACATGACAAGCAAATGATCATCTACTTTTCATAATAAAAGATTTAATAAGGAGGAAGTAGTCTTTCAATACAGAAATTAAAATATTAAATATCCACAGGCGATTCCTGATAAGAAATTCTAAAATGGAAGGGTACTGTAAAACCTTACTATGCATTCAACATATTTTAGGAACTTGAAAATTGCTGAAATCGTTGCAACAATGTCATTGGTAATATCATAAAGAGGCTTACTCACATCCACAAGTTTGTTCATATAGATACAAAACAAGTGGGAGTTAGGGTTTAACTTTTATCAGAAAATGTAAGTAGAAAAAGCAGCTGAGCTGTTCAGTTTCTGCAGAAGAACAGCATCTCTTGAAAAAAGCTTCCGCAGGCAGGAATTTGGGTTTAAAAATGGCTAGTCCAAGATTACACTTGAAAAAAGTGATAGCATCAAAAGATCTTTTTATATATATATATTTTATTTCCAGGCCCCAAGTCAACAGAATACTTAGATATGCTGCCCATCAAGGGGCCTTAGATTAAATTCTTGTTGAATGGTAGACCCAGTGGTCAGTACTAACTGTTTGTTGGCAGATGAAGTCATCTCTATCTAGGCCATGTAACAACTATACTCTAAGTGTAAAAGACAATACAGTGAAGAGATAACCTATTCATTTCCTTTCAGTGTAATTTCTCCTCATCTAAGATACCATATCAGATGCTTATAAACAGAATACGGTAAAGGGCAGAATTTAACAGAATTTGGAAATATATTTTTTTACTCTCATCTATAGCGCCGAGGTAAACATAGAGCAGCAGCACTAGCAGCAGCATCTTAAGAGTTCAGTGCTGCTGTCCTTAAATAATGTCAGATGAAATGACAGAAGAAATGAACGACGACAGGTTAAAAATAGAGAGCTGCTTCGTGTGGGAATATTCTGCATCACTCTGGATATCTATTGTGAAATCCTGCTGAGAAACACTGAAGGCTACTTTATTCTGACAACTGGCTTACTATTAAAAAACAGTTGAAAATTTACCCAAACTCTGTATATATGCAGTGTATGTTTGGGAGAGGGAAATTTGGGTAATGGTGATAGAAGATGTCTTCCGAAAGCCCTTAGCATTATAAAACTGATGCCAGGTTAACTCAGATTTTAGGACAGTTTATTTATCCTCTCCACCTGAAACTCAACATCACTCTCCTGAAATTCCAGACCTGAATGAAAACTGAAAATAGCTTATTACCTATAACCTAGGCTGTCGTTGACGGTTAGTGGAGAACGAAAGCCTTTTCTGACAGGTGGCTGCGCGTGCTATGCTGCGGCATCACTCGGCTAAGGCACAGGCTAGTAGTCAGAAAGTGCAGATTTCACCAGTTTTGCTAGACACAGACCTGAGATATTTGTACCTCTGCCTGGTACAAAACTGGCATAATGCCAGAGTTTACTTATGCAATATGTTATTGCAGCACAAGAATCATTGTACTTCTTGAAATGGTAAGAAGCCAAACCCATGCTAATCGCCCCGTCGTCACAGCTCTCTTTGTATTTATGGATGTGGTTTTCCTCCACTGAAGTCCCCTCGCTGCTCTGCTGGGCTTCCCATCAGTGTTTGCAAAGGCTGAAGCTTACAGTGTTGGAGGATGCAGAACGGCCACAAAAGAAGTCTAACAAATCCCTAACAAGGTTCAGCACCACAGGAGGCCCAGGCAGAAGCATCTGGCAGGGGAAAGACAAGCCCGGCAGCTTTGCTTTCCTGGGACTGTGGGTTGCTCCAAAAGAGGGGAAGGCAGGCGCTTTGCAGCTACCCCCCCGTAGCCCCCCAACACTCCCCCAGCAGCCAGAGCCCCTTCAGACCCTGCCTGCGCTGGGGCACCTCCGGGCTACGCGCTGCCGGCACGCTCCTTACCTGACCCACAGTTTGCGTTAAGGAATGGTGTGTGCTTGTGAATTTGTATGCGTGCGTGAGAGACAGACAGACAGAGGAACTACGAGCTGGGCTATGCCAGCAAGTCTAGTCCCTGCGTGGTAAAAAACCTTACCATCCTCAGGTACAGTATAATGCGCGTATTCAGGAAAGTAATCTTCGATTTTTGATTTCCCTGCCAAGACTTTCTCAGCCAGCATGTCCTGTTTATTCAAGAACAAAATGATAGAAATGGTCCGTAACCACCTGTCAAAAACAAACCAAATGTTTGTGTTATCTCTGACACGTTAATCAAGGAAAACATATCACTTCAATAGAAATTTTACTGGCTACCCCTGCGTGGACAGAGAGTGAAGTAGTGTGGAACATGCTTCAACAGAAAAAAAAGATGACCTAAACTACTGTTTTGATTGGGTTGCACCTGTGCTGGTGGGTGTATTTATAGGATCTGTAAATACATTTACAGAAACTGCAGTAGACATTGCTGAAGGGAACAGTCTTCAAATATTGTTTTCTAAATTATCCTTTTGATATCAAGTTGGGAAAATGATGCCATTTCCTAAAAGCATCACAATCCAAACCCAGACATTACTGTCTACTTCGTTTGGTTTTGCTGATGCAGAAGAAAAAGGCTGGAAAGCTGCCTTCCCTCAGGCTGCTCTGTTTTAACTACTGTTCATCCCCACAGACGTCCCGTCTTTTAGGGTGGCCTGTATGACACCTGACAAATCCAAAGAAAATAATCTCTTTTCTTCCCCAATTAATACCTAGCCATCACTGTGACGATGTGCCTTTGGGACTTGCGCTTAACATTCTTCCTCACTCTACCTTCAATCACTTCTCAGTGCAGAGCAACCTCATAGGTATGTGCCGAAAACTTCATGACATTATTTTGTGTATTGTTTTTACGTATTATCTACCAGGAACCTACTCAGATTGCTATTTGGTTACGTATCTAGAATTTACATGCACCGTGGCAGAATGGCAAGTTAAATGGTAGTTAGATTAGATCTGAAACATCATCCCACAAGGCAGAGAAACTGTGTGCTCTCAGAGAGGAGTCTTACGAGCGTGGCGGTGCACGCGGGTGTCGAGTGCAGCGCCAGCCGGTGAATCGAATGCAGCGCCAACAGCTAGCTGCTCCTGCTGCTGCGTTTGAGGAGGAGACGAAATGTAATTTGGAGGATGCTCTCAGTCTCGGCCAAGCGGCACAGTGACACCAGGACGGGGTCTCCCCTGCTTCCCTTGTGGCAGCCGGCACGGGGAGCTTGCCCTTTCCAAGCTGTCCCCGCACTCTGCTTCATTTTGGCAGCAGCAGCGAAACGCCGTGTGCACCATCCCTACACCACGGCCCCCGCCGGGGAAGGGTATGCAGCGCGAGGCCCCCCTGTCACCCGGCCCTACCTGGACACTTTCTGAATAAGCAATCTGAGCATATAGTAAGGGGAGTCCTGTTTTGTAACGAGTTGAACTGTAGCTAAATTGGGGAAGGTGGGTGGGAAATGAGGTATTTACCTATTATTCCAGATACTTTTGAAAAGGTCCAGGGATTCCCGTAGTCTGTTTGTGTTATTGTCCTCCCTTATTACCATGTTGTAGCTGCTGCAAGCCACAACGAAGATGATAGCTGTGACATCTGGGCAGAGCACACAAGAGAAAGAAAGGAGAAAGAAAAGAACATCTCTGTTATTCCAGCACATACTCCTCAGGGTAACACTGCCATTACTGCCCAAACTGCCAAAAACGCCTGAAGAAAATATCTGTAACAGTGGTCCCCTGTATTAGTGACACACTATGTGTGAATATGAGCACTAAGCTGCTCAAATCTCAGAGAATAAGTTCAAAATAAAAACATGGAATATTCTTACTTACCGTTAAAGCACTGGATCCATTTTCTTCTCTCATCTCTCTGGCCACCTACATCAAACATGCTGTTAAAAAGCCATAGGATGTTACATCACTTATGCGCACTAGGAAAGTCACACGAAGCACGCAGCGCAAGGGTTCAGTTTAAAAATCTGACAGCCCCAAGGACATCAGCAGTAAAATATTGCCTGAAGGCGAGAGAGATCTGCCAATGCTGTGGTGCCCATCAAGTGCTCTGCTGATGCCATGCTGTATGTCAGAGAGCTGCAGAGCTTCACCTGCCCCACTCTACCAGGAGAAGGCTACTGAAACCATAAAATGAGAAATATACTCTTTTCCAGGGCAAGTGTTGGCCTTTCCAGCTCACAGAAGCACACATGGCATGTAAGGTTGGACCTACTGTACTACAAACAAGAACAGGTTTCAGCATATTTTGTAGGGTGGTGGAGAGAGTGTGTCTCTGTGAGGAGGGTGGCATGGGGGTAGCTCTGCCCCGTCAGCGCTGCCACCTTTCTGGGCAAGAACCAGTGAGTGGAGGCAGCCCGATGGTGGGTGTTTTACAGAGGCATAGCGTAAAACTTCAACAATCATAGAGCTTGCAGCCCTCCAGAAGAAGGGAGACATTTAACTCTCCTTGTCCCACGGTACAAAGTTGGACTCGTTGCAGGATTCCCATTGACTTCTGCGAGATTTTATCCCCAAAAGTATTTTATGATTTTACAGTACTATACCAATGAACCAGTTAGTAAAAACAGCCACAGACAACCCCACAATAGAGCATCACTAACACATATAACTAATATAATCTCTTTTTTGCAAAGTATGAGGCAATTTTACTAAGACCTATGGAAAGAGAACTAAAAAAACCAATCCAACCAACCAAAAACAACTCCCACCCTAAACCTACTATACCAAGCATACATGAGCACAGACATCTGAAGTACATTGTTAAAAATTAGTATGATATTCATAAATTATTACTAATAGACTTACTGGAAATTTACTTTATCTACTTGAAATCTTGTTTCAAAAATCCCTGATGTCAACACTCTGCATCTTAATAGGTCCTGGAAATGAGAACACAAAAGCTGATTAACAAGGTTTTTTTCTAACCTCATTTTGTTTTTAAAAGCATGGAATACTATTTTCCATGAAAAGTCTTAAATGTTCCGTTTAATTAAAGTTCAATCAGACTTGTTGGTAAATCTGCATTTGTTGGTAAACCTGCATTTGTCCACATTGACACAGTGGATATACACAGTCATCACCTCTGCATTTGGTTTGTGCACACCTGGAAAGCAGGAGACCCTATATACATTCTCCTAACTGCCCACTAAAACCTGTTATTGATGGTCATACCATTTTGTATGTGAAGTGGATAATGAATTCCAAAGTTACATAAAACTAAGAAAAATGTTATTCATGTTGTAAAGTCCAGTATTCAAATGTTAGAAAACTCCAGATTTACAGTTGCCCAGGCAACCTTAATTCTGTCCCTTTTTGTATCGAATGAGACAGGAATCCTATCGAAATAATAGCTTGTGACTAAGTAATTAAAGCTCTATTACAGAGCACAGGGGAGCAGAATTTAGGTTGTAAGTAAATCTGGCATTTCTGTCTTATTTTTTGAGCTAGAAATACTTTACAACTTAAATAACATCCTTTTAATAATTAAAAAAATACTAATTCCCTAGATTCTCAAAGGAAGTAGGCAAAAGCAATTTATGATGCATACCTTGGGCAACTGGCTCACCGTGTGCCGTTGTCATCACCAGCAGCGTTTTTAACCTTGACTATCCAGCACTGCTGCTTGGGCAGTGGGTGCAGAACAAAATCAGAGGCCGGAGAAAGCTACCGGCTGCCTGATAGGGATGAAGCCCTGCCCTGAGCAGCCACCTCTCGGCATGGGAGAGCACTCCCTTCCTGGGGCAAGGGAAGGGCCGCTTGGTCTAGCTTAGCTCTCCGTGCCATGCAGTGGCTGTGGAAGCCGGGAGGGAAGGAGGCTGTCAGTGGTGCAGAGTCCAAGTGCAGCTTGCCTTTTTCTCCTACCCTATCGTCTACTGCTTCAAGTACTGTGGTAGCTGGGAAACCTCGGCTGCTTTGACAGCTGCAGGAACTCAGCTGAAGGCCGCTTATTTAATTATTTTAGTTATTATATATGTTACTGTCATTTTCTGTCGCTTGCTGACATTTATGTGTTATTGGACTCAGTCATTATTTTGGGATGGTGCAAAAAAAGCTAAAGAAAGCAAGGGAAAAAAGGAAAGTAGTGTTTTTTACCAGTTAATTCAGCAGAACAACTGATTCAACATAACAGGATGAAAACCCAAAAGCACATGAGAATCCCTCCTTTAGAGCAGAAGTCTTCCACCTGCCAAATACCAAAGGCTTCTTCTGATCTTTGAAGACACAGTGCATTTTTACCCAAAGGAAATATCAGGAAAATGTCTAGGTGATGAATGACTGCTCCAGCTAGAGACAGGCCTCCCAGGAACAAACAGGCCAACACTAATGTAAATAACGAAAGCAAAAATGAGGCTTTGCTTCATTGACTTCTCTCTCCAGCTGAGTGTTATCGATGCTAAAATCAGACCATGAGGTCTAGACGGAGTAAATCCCAGTGCTACGCTTTGGTCTGAAAACATCTCGAGGTCTTTAATAATTGATCCTATATTGGGTTGACTACACAAGTTTCCCCTTATAATACAATGTATACTACTTTTTACTGCCTTCTATTTCAGGATATGGTCAGAGTAACTGGACAGGCTTGTGGTTATAGACCTCAACTAGGTCTGAAGGAACAGGCTCTGCTCCACATACTTCTTTGCGTGATCTCTGGCAAGTCACTCCGTTTCTCTGAATTGCAGTCCCTGACTGCACAATGAGATTTGGCAATTGTATTTTTTTAAGGACATCCTCCCATTAAACACCTTGCATGGTTAGACTGAATTACCCAGTGCAGGGATTCTCTTCCGCCACCTGTATCTGCAGTTTATGACATGGCCCGCCATCTTGGCTGAGGCTACTAGATGACAGTGGGATACCAGCACTGAAAAATAACAACCTCAGAGTAAGTTTGCGGAAGAGAAATCCTGCCCAAGGAAGCGACACAGCCTGAGCTCAGGGAAGGCAGGCGAAACTGTGCACCATGGTGAAGCTCTTTCTTACGTCAAGGCTGCACCACTTCAGCCTTAACTTTCCTGAACACGTTTGCATTAAGAGCACTCTATCAAGATGTGTCATGACATCCAGGAAAAAAGCGTACTGTCCTGCAAATAAGGTTTAAACAGAAGCTATCCTGCCCATAGGAGATGGGCACAGGCTGGAGAGAAGGTGTCTGCACGTCCGCAGAGAACGGACCACAAGGTCTGCTGCTGCCGCTGCTGCTCTCCCCTGAATTTGGACACTAGATTCACTGCAGGCTTCTCCCCCTAAAGGACCCGTCCAATGGATATGGGAAGCCTCCCTCCAGGTTTCCATCACCTCCACCATTGGAATAAAACACTGCTTCTCTGTAGTGAAGGCTGGTTGATGGAAACCATAGGCTTTTACGTTTATGTTTTCTGCTCCCTTTGTTTTGTTTGCGGGACACAGAATGGAATGCAAGAAGAAATAATAGATGTATTACAGGAATCACAGACTTACATATAACAACAATAAATGACAAGCTTGCACCATCAAAAAGCCTATTTTTCTTTAATATCCGTTACTTAAACTGCTAGACTGTATTTTGATACTATGTAGTATGCCCTATTTCAGCTGCTGTTGGGACTAAAATAAATTACATAAAGAATTCGTACAAATGGGTGCCTTGGTTCAGTCCCTACCCCATTAGTTATACTAACCTGATCTGTGGGTGTGTAGTCATCCATGCTGACGCTGTCAATTCTTTCTAAAAAGCTAGAAGAAAAATAAACATGCACTTAGGTATGTAAAATACTGTCTAGGATAACACTTTTCACTACCTTTTCTGGTTTAGACTCCTGCTGCAAAGTAAAACACAAGCCCAGTGGTAAAGGTATGAGCCCAATGATCTACTTACATTGATAGAGGTTATATTTTCCGAGCCAAACAACTTTTTCCCCAGACTTTGTTTCAATACAGTGCTTCTACACTTACCGTTATGCAGTACCCATAAGTGGTCCAAATGCAGTTAAATGTTATAATTTTGTGCGGTCCACTAAAAAATACTACGACTAACCATGTGTCATAACATCATATGGTTGTTTAGACATAAAAAGATTTTGGGATTTAAAAATGGAGTGAAGGGTTGCCGTTATTTAACATAATGCTAATCTAGCATAATGTTATGCTAATTATGGTCTCAGAAATGTTCGCAGAAATGCTTATTAATAGTACAAACAGCTTTGGACTGACATGCTGCCCTCGAACACTGCAACTAAAGCCTAAGAAGTGGAAAGCAAAACTGACGTGAAGCGGAAGTTAACCAGTTTCACTCTTTATGCTGCCAAAACTCAGTGAGATGCATAAGGTGAAAACAAAAACTTACAACTGCAGGGAAGGGCAAGAGAAATAGGAGCCAGAAAAAAAGGGGGGAACCACATTCTCCAATTATTTAAAAAATCTTTTCATGCTTTAATTCTTTCCTAGAACATGTTAGAATGGCAGTATTAAGGACATACAAATGTGATTTTATATGTATAGCTAAAATAGGCAGGGTGTCCTCTCTCACTTTCACCCATTTCTTGGATTTTGTGTCAGCCCAGCTGGCTCATTTTCCCTGGACTGCCCATATGACTTAGCAGCTTTCTTGAATTTCTGCATTGTTATTTGGTATTTGGCAGTGAATATCCCAGTGGCTGACTCATCCTGCTACAATATTAGTCAAGATTTCTTTATCAACTGGCAAGTTTTTCCCAATTTTACTTGGGTGTGCATGTGGAATCTACTTAATTGCAGTGGGAAAGACAGAAAACCAGTGAACTCTTGACTTACAATGTGACGCACTGTTAACACAGGGGTCACACACACTGACCAGTTGAAAAAATACCCCCCTAAAAGCCTGTTTGTAATTCTCGTAGCACTTTCCCACGGATACAAACTGAAAGGAAAAGAAAATACACTGCGTATATATTTACTTATACTGTTTCTCCTTTTTGAACCTCTATTGCTATAACAGGGAAACAAAATGCAGTATCTACAGCTAGAATAGCCAGCTTTTCTTTCTGGATGATCAAGGTGTGATGGCTAAGCATACTGTTTAAAAAAAATCATTGTTTAGTGCAACATGATGGGTACCTGATAACAAAACTACACTGAACAAACTCTAAAGAAAAATAATCTTTCTACAAAATCTCCTCCACTGCCAAAAGCCACCATAAACTTATCAAGATATAAAAATACATCTTTATAGTCAGCTACATTCACCATGAGAAAGCAACTGTAGTCACTGAACCTTCTGGTCAGATGATTTTCATCACCTTGAGAATATTGATTAAGCACAGTTTAACTTCAGTCACCCCTGCAGCTAATGCAGACACCGGAGCAGAGCGAGCAATGTATTTTTAACTGGCACTCCTATCATTAACACAACTCTCGTCTCATGCTTGCAGCATGTGAGATGAAAAGAGAAGGCAAAAAACCCCAAACCAAAAATGCCTCCAAGGTGAATCTCTTCCTAAACACAGAGTAACTTTCCTTAACACGGCTGTGCAGGAAGCACTCCTGTATTTTCAAGTTTCAAAGTTTTCTCTCCAATTTCTTAACATCTTGATCCGAAGGGCCTGGAAACAGCCACTTTCCACCAGGGTGAAAGGGTAGGAGAGGGGTAAATCCAGGTCTCTGAGCGCAGCGAGGTGGCAATGCCAGCCGGTTAAACAAGCCCTGCAGAAAATGGGGCAGGAGCCTGAGGGAGAGGTGGCAAACTGCTGTGGGATCGATAAATGCGACAGAAGTCGGGGAGAAAATGCTCCTCAGCTATGGTTGACACAGAAAAGGGCTCTGGTTAAGAGCGTGGACAGAAGCGAGTATTTGTGCAAATACGACTCCATCACAAACCTCACAAGACAGCGTAAATCGGTGTTTTTCTTGCAGAAGTGTTCTTTCTGAGTTGATGTAAAATCAGAGACAATGTGGGGACAGACTTTTTAGCAGGGCCTGTTGCAGTAGGACAAAGTGTAATGGTTTTAAAATAAAAGAGGGTAGATTCAGACTAGATCTAAGGAAGAAATTTTTCACAATGAGGGTGGTGAAACACTGGCGCAGGTTGCCCAGTAGATGCCCCATCCCTGGAAACATTGAAGGTCAGGTTGGATGGGGCTCTGAGCAACCTGCTCTAGTTGAAGATGTCCCTGCTCATTGCAGGGGGGTTGGCTAGATGACCTTTAAAGGGCCCTTCCAACCCAAACCGTTCTATTATTCTATGATGATGCATATTACCTCCCCAAGGAGATACATATACCAAAGTATATATACCAAAACCGTTCTATTATTCTATGATGATGCATATTATCTCCCCAAGGAGATATATATACCAAAGTATATATACCAAGGTCACGTTGACAGAATTAATCCAAAATGATTAAACATGGTATTTAGTACCAGTTCATGTCTCTCTCATGTATACAACAAGCACTTCAGGAAGGGTTATTGGTTGTTAGCGTTTGCATCTCCCAAACAGGCAAATTAAGGTAAGGAACAAAGGAGTGAGTAACGCAGTTACACTACAGATAATCCATGGCAGGGTTGGGAATGAGGTAAGTCTCCTAATTAGATGTCCTACGTATCAGCCCAAGTCGTCTTCCATATAGAAATCCTCAGCCTCCTCCAAGTAAAAGGATCTGTTTCAAATACCCTAAACCGCAACACCGCAGTTAAGAGCGAGTGAGCTCTGACAAGTATCACGTGCTTAAAAAATATTACTTGACATAGCAGCCACAACGTTTTATGCTTGTTGCTGGCCACATGCGATCTACATTAAAATAAATGCAATGATTTACAAGGTTTTACCTGCCACCTCGCTGTATCAAGCTGCAACGGTATCACTAGCATCCAGTAAATCAACACGCAACTACTATTAGGATTAGGCTAAATTTCATAGCTTCACAGAAAATTAACTTTTTCAGTGTGTGATGGACAGGCTTCCTAAGATTTCTTTTGCAGCTACATTAAATGTGCACTGAGTTTTCTAGACATTTAAACACAAAAAACTATACTCTCTACTTTTTCGGAAGAAAATCAGTTCTTGAATATCCTTCATATAAGCTCCTTACTTGGCTAATTAGCACAGTAGCTCTGACAGGCAAATGTACGTAGTAAGTACAAGTAATGGATTCCAGATGAGATAAGGAGCCAGTACTGTCTCATTACTAAATACGCTAACTTCATTCTCATTACTGTATTAGAATGGGAAAACTGGAATCACTTTTCAAAATTCCTTTCTAAAGAATGTTAATTTCTACTAATTCTAAATGCCTCTAATAATGATGTTCTGGCACAATACACATTCTTTTATACATATACATATATATACACACACCAGCAAATTTTAATTTTACACGACTAAAATTTCAGTTAAAGTGCTTGAAGTATGAAGATACCTCCCAACTGTGGCAATGCTCATGCCTCCACTCAAAGAATCAGTGTGGGGAAAACACAACAGCAGAAAAACGACCAAAAACGGATACCAGCATCACTTATTCTCTCTTTTTAGATCCTGTTTTTTTTCAGCTCAGAGATAAAATTATTTTCACAGAATTATGCCTTTTTACAGTACTGACAGGTCTTCTATTTATGCAGCTTCTATAGAAACCCACACTCAGGATTTATGTTAATTCTGCAGTTGACTGCTTTGCATGCATGTGCAATGAACTTTAAACTCATGCATTCAACTCAACTGTGAATAAGACTATAGCATATGATATAATATTCGTATGTCTACTTCACAATTGTGGTTTTATTTATAAAGGATTCAGTCCGATAATTAGTACGACATTTAGGTTCCTCGTAATTTTACGGTAGGGTGTTTTACATTTCCTTCCATGGAATGGCACAAACTGCTTTTATTTTGTTTTAAATAAATTAGGCAAGATATTGGAAGGAAGGTATTCACTGCTCTGCTTGGAAATGCAGTGGTTTGGTTTGCCAACAAATTAAAGCAAAGCAAAATGGACTGATAAAGTTAAAAAAACCAGTCACGAGCTACTGACATTATTATATCTATTATTAAGCTGATCTGTAGTTTTATAAATATCTTCAGTGAGTTTCCTGGGAAACTCAGCTGACACTTAGTTTGACAAGCAATCTCTAAATTTTATATTATGCAAGCCATGAACACAAAAGTACAGGTTTTAGATGTGCCTGCCAGTGCATGTGGGAACTATCAAGAAGCATTATTCTCTTCAAAAAACATGGCAATTTGAGCAGCAGTAGCAGCTATATGAGAATTTCTGAAAAAAAGGATTCATAAATGCACAAATAAAGAGGAGGTAATCGTACATGAAAATCCTTTTCTCACTGGGAGATACTCTGAATCCACAAACAAAATCACAATTATAAGAAAAATCATGTCTTGAGAATAATACGATAGACAGAAAACCCATGCTATATTTGTAAGTGTATTCTGACATCCGAAAAATTGGAAAGATGAAGTGCTAAACTGTAGATCAATACAAGGAACAACACATTTTAATAAACCTTCCTCTACTTCAACCATTTTTTATGCTCTCACCCCAACATTTCAAGGGCCTTGTATCAGAAAGTTGCTGTGGAAAACACGAAATCAAACCCATGTCAAAATCTTGTCTCTTTAAAAGAAAATGTGGCAAATCTTTAAGGCTGTAGCTTTAAGTCCTCAGAGTGAATAATCTCAAATTTATCCTCAAGTAAGTTGTTGGGGTCAGGAAACATTTCAATTCCTGATGGACCATTAAGAGCTTTGC